GCTTTCCTCCGTTGTTTGGCAGATTCGCGCGGCTGCCCTGGATCGGCGTGTGCATGGTCTTGCATCCGTGGCACAACAATGTGGCCTCCCCCGCTGTCAACAACCCACTATCGCGATGCGACAGTCGTGGCACCGTTGAAGTTTCGGTTGTGTGATGTTGCTTCCGGCGGCGGTTCAGGCGCTCCCATGGGGCGTGGTGGAAGAAGGTGGAGGAGGATCCGGTGGCCCGGCTGGTGCCGGGTGCAAATCTGCCAGCGGAAGCTCGTTTTGGCCTTGGTTGGAGCCATCGACGGTGGCACCCGTGGGTGTCGTCATCTTGTTGGAGGCGTCGTGGGTTGTTTTTGTTCCGTGTGTGCTCCGGGGGAAACCCCATATTTAGGTTTTCTGGAACAGATGATGGCGGCATGCATGTGTATCGTAAGCCTCGTTGTTATTGTGCAAATATTCTTATCCATGCACTAAATTTTCTATACACAGATGGATACATATATGCACAAATATATACATACGGCGCAAATATCCATGTTAGTGTACATAGATACACATATTTGCAATCCATACAAGTGCCATGCAAAATTTGCTACACTCACCCATAGCTACAAATTGTAAGACCAGCTATACCTACTAAATCCCTAACAATATAGCACACAGATCCTAAACCATACCTAACAAATACAAGTGCAAAATCCAATGAAATTTGAGAAAGTGGATGAACTAGCTTTCTCCAGATCAGTACAATGCGAAGATTGCAAACAATAAAAAGAGAGGAAAAGAAGGAGAATACCTTAAAGATTTGAGGGGGGAGAAGGTTGACTCTTGTTTAGCCCTTGGCCACTTATTTGAGAGGGGGAGAGTGGCTAGGAGGCGAGAGGAAGAACAAAAGAACGAACAGAGCCCTTGGGCTCGGAATGGGAGGCCTCGCGCTAGATCTGCCCGTTTTCTTTAGCGAAAGGGCTTGGCGCCTGGGCCAAGGCGTAAGGGTTCTGAGCATGACAGCTCCGTCTGGGGTGTCATACTCCATCAGCCTAGGTCCGTCCGGGCCGACGTGGCAAGTCAGTTCTGCCCTAATGGCCCCTTGATCAGGGTGTCATGATGCCTAGCATGACGTCCTGGGGCCGGCCGTCATAAAAATGAGCCATTTTTTGATATCTATTACTAGTTTAAATGGGGTCCATTTTGTGTTTAATTTTGAAGATGGGCCAAATTTGCTGTTTTTCACTAGGAGACATGCCTCGTCTTCGTCTTCAAAAGCAATAAAAACCACCGTGCTTCTCCAAAAAAGAAAAAGAAAAACACCGTGCAAGATTCTCGCGGAGAGCCCCCAGTCCCCTACCAGCCGCGCGTGTCACGATGCAGTTAGCCTGGAGTCAAGCCCACTGCACCCCTCATCTGATCCACTGGGAGCTTCCCCCGCACACTTTCCGCGTGAAAGACTCCAAACCTTGGAGTCCCTACCGTGAAAGCAAACGCCACGACCAGCTGTTGGCCACGTCAAGCTGAGTCGCCGGTATTACCATCGACGCGACCCCCGCCCGGATCTCGTCGTTTTCGCCCGCGTCCCACCGCCACCAGCTGCGCCATGGGCCATGGCCGCAGAACAAAACATAAAGTAATGATTAAACCGCTCCGACACTCACTTACCGGTGGGCCGGCCGGCATGTGGGTTCCAGAACCGCCCACAGCTTTCTTTCCCCCTCAGCTTTTCGCCCAAGCATCTCACATAAAAAAATGAAAATAAAACTTTCCGCCCAAGCACCACGTCACGGCCTCGAACCCTCTTGCCCTCCACCCTCCCCGCGGGTTTATATGCCCGCCCCGTCCGCCTCCTCCGAACCTCAGCTCAAGCGGAACCCGCACACCCTCGCTCTCTCGAGTTCCTCTTCTTCTTCCCCCCGAGCAAGGAGGAGGCTGCATCCGCACAGCCCTGCGTCATGGCCGCCTGCGCCTTCTTCTTCGACGCGGAGCCGCTGGGCGAGCCCGGGCTGCAGCTGCACGGGCCGGAGCTGGAGCTGGACGCCTGCGCGCTCTGCACCAAGCCGCTGCAGGGCAACAGCGACATCTTCATGTATAAGGGGGACACCCCCTTCTGCAGCGAGGACTGCCGCTACGAGCAGATGCACTTCGACGCCGCCATGGCCAGGCAGCAGGCCAGCGCCAGGCGGAAGCAGCAGCAGCAGCAGGCCCAGGCGCAGCCCAGCGTGCCGGCGCCGGCGCCCGTGTCCGCCAAGGCCGACGTCTCCGTGGCGAGCTAGTCGAGCCGCGCCGCATCGGGCTGGCTAGCTAGTAGGAACTATGTACCCTTTTTGCCTTGGGTTGAAGGAGGAGGACGCGGGGTTCTTTGGACGGCCAGTGTTCTTGCCTGGCATCCGGTGCCGATCGATCAATCTATTGATCTGCACAGGACTATCAGTCCAGGATCACCGCGGGCTTTTGATTGGCCCCCTTTTGGGGTTTGGGTTTGGCTATGAGAGGAGAGAGCGGGTGTGCAAGAGCACCGTCGCTGTGTAATTATTCAAGGCAAGCGATGTAAAGTATTTCTCCAAATTTCGAAGGAAATATGATCATGTTTATTATTCATTTGAATGAGCATATTGTTTCGAACCAACAGATGTTGATGGTATGGTACATGGTACAACTGAAAATTTTATCAAATGATGAACGATTTGCCGTCCAAGAATCAGAGACACAATTGTTTTCACTTGCCAGGATTGCAGCTCGTGCCACAAAACAGCTAATGTATCTATTCATTGCTCTATTTTTTTTTTTGCGGGGAGCTAGCGCATCCAATATGATGCATTTCCCTGTAACCGAAAGCAGTTCGCCATGATTATGTTCTGTTAAGCGAAATGCTATTTGCTATCTAAATCTCTGAAAAATACTAAACTTGGCCGGCCCAGCAAATCATGTACTGAACCAGGTCCGCATATCAATTTAAATACGAATACGAGGAAAACGAATCTTCAACGAACAAGCGAAACCCAATTTTCATTTGGCGAATCGAGTAAACAAAAGGCCATGCAGAGAAAATCAATTCGAGCAAGTGTGAGTAAACAAAATCCCCTAAAAAAAGAAGAATTAAGTAAACAAAGAGCCAAGGCAAGAGGAAATCAAATCAAACATGATACACACTCCAGCGCCGAAGGTGGAGGAAATCAAATCAACCATGATGCCCCAACGGGCCAATCCTCCGGCGTCACACTCGTGGAACGCCTCAATTATTTTACTGTTTTCCGTGCGCCTCGCGACTCAGCGCCGAGTCACTGAAAAGTACGGGAACATTTCCGCGCAGAAAAGAAAAACAGGAATCATCCGGGAGGGAGGGAGGGGTCGCGTCACGGCCGGGCTGGATGGTGTGGACGTGCAACCGCCCATGTGTCCGATCCCTACGAGGTGGAGACGGTGACTCAGCGCGTCTCGCGGGCCCCGCACGGAAAAACCAAACGCTTTTTTATTCCCGCCACCCCAGTCCGCGGAGAACATCTGTGCGGACGTCCAAATCCCTCCCGTGGAATATTTAAGTTTCTGTGGCGCTCTTTTCACGGCTTTATTATTCTGCGCCGAAAGTCGGAAAATGCATGTGTCACTGTAATCGCGGTACAAGTAGTCGCTTGTAGTTTTTCACCGGCCGCCCGCTGCCAACCAAGTGTGCGTCGCTCCTCTCTCGAGATGGGCTGAAGTTGAATGATTACGTGCAATGCCTCACTCTGAAGCCACACCATAAACAAAACGGGGCGCGGATCTCGATGGGGCTGTCTCCCGGAACGAAGCCTGCCCGCCAGACCGGCGATTCCCCGCGCCCAAAAGAAAATTACGGGCGAAGATTTTATGCCTGGCGCGCTGTTAGCCTCTCGCATACTATAACTTAAACAACACAGATCTCACGAGCTGCGCCCTGCTCTATGAAGATTTTGTACGAGTACAAAACTGCCCGTGGCCTGGTGCCGGTGCATGACAGGTTCGTGCGTTTGATTGGGTGTAGAGGTGTAGACAAGATCTGCACATGTGCGCCAACCCCTACACTGTTCATCAGCTGCTGCCTGGCGGGCATGCACCACGGCCCCCGAAGCTCGCCCATGGACCACGGCACCACGCCATGGAGAAAAGAACGGCACATCGATTTTATTTTCTTTTATTTTCTCAAAAGATCGCATATTGTAACGGGTGCGCACTGTTGGTCTATAATTAGCGTGCCTAACCACGTGGGCCACCTGGCCCGTATGTTGGCGAAAAGGCTGGCGCGCTAATTATGGGCCCTAATACGGTCCGCATTAGTTTACGTCAGTGGCCGCCTGATGATGTAGATTTGATGCCCACGATTCCGACTAGACGGACAAGAAATAATTCGTTCGCGCTTATGTTATTGGTGCGAATATTTACTCAGATCTTTTGCCAGAGAAAAGTAGAGCAATCATTTGTTTGTTCAGGGCAACTACTACTTCAGTATTTGTATTTCCAATCCAATCAGTGATCAGTGGATGGTATTGGTGTCGTACTCCAAGACTATGGGCGCTGGCACACAGGTTTGGGGTACATGGAGGGCGACGTCGCTGGACCGACCTCTGTACGTTGCTATCGCTGGCCGCGACCCTGTCCACGTCGCCCGGACATAACATGGTTCCCGTCGTTTTCGCCGCCGTGGAGCCACGTCTGCCATCCGGCGGGGCGGCGGGCCACCCACCGTATGGCGCCGTGGGTCCGTGTCGGAGCCCGGGAATAAAGAAACCGAGCCGCTCCATCGTCCATGGTATTTGCCTGACCCTTTGGGCTCGTCGTCTCTCCCGCACCAGACCTCTTCTCTCCTGGCATTCGCAAGTCGCAACCATTGAACCATATAATACCCAGACACCTAGTTTGGTTCAGCACAGCAAACACTCGACCTCCCACTCCCGGCGCGTAGCACCGCACGCACTGCGAAGTTATTAGCTACACACACGGACACACGATGGCCTGCGCCTTCTTCTTCGACGCCGAGCCGGTCGGCGAGCCCGGCGTGCACGCCCTGGACGCGTGCGCGCTCTGCACCAAGCCGCTAGCAAGGGACAGCGACATCTTCATGTACAAGGGGGACACGCCCTTCTGCAGCGACGACTGCCGACACGAGCAGATGCAGCTCGACGCCGCCTGCGCCAGGCAGGCGGCCAGGGCGTGCACGCCGGGAACGGGGTCAGGGCGTGCACGCCGGGAGTCATGGGAGGTGCCCGTCGCGAGCTAACCGGTGACAGGGCGAAGCTGCCTACGCACTTGAGCCAACAAGATCTGCGTGCACGAAGCCGCCGCTGCCCGTGTCCAACTGATCAGCGCGGGATCGAAGAGACTCTCCTTTGTTGAAGAAGCTAACCGCGGCCGGGTCATCGGAGTTGCTCACGGCAGGCCGGCGCTCCACGGGCCGGCGGTCAAATGATTTGGCATAAACGCAGCGGAAAAAGAGCTGGAGTGGATCTGAAGAAGCCATTCAATCAAGATTCCCTCAGCTCTCTCCTTTTTTTTCTTCGTTAATATTAGTTCTGTATGAGAGCGAATTTGCAGTGGCACTTTCACTGGGTAAACTATCAAGCGAATTGGCATATAACATGCCTTTCTGCAATCCTGTTTCTGTTCATGATTCAGCGCGCTAATGGGATTTTTTAAGCTAAACCATTGGAGGTTTACCACACGATTTAAAACTGAATTTTGTTCTAGACCTGGGGTGTCAAAAATTAAAACTGTCTACATCGACTGAGCATCAACAAGACAACTCCTGCAGTCCTACTTTTGGCCTTAGTTAGGAACTAGAATCGTACGCGCGCTTTGCCGCGCCAGCTTTTTCTAACTATTTATCTATTTGCTCATTAGTTCTCAGATAAATCCTTTACTTATATCAACCAATGGACCGATCGTTGTTGTTCGTTTTCTATGGGACTTTTTGTATTTTTAGCTTCCATGATTTTGTGGTGTTGCAGGAGGATATTAGTCCAAAAGAAACATATAGAGATTTCCAGAAGCAAAGGCACATGGTCACCAAAACTTGGTAGGGTATTAGTCATTTTTTACAGCTTCACGGCAATTGTTCTTCACAAAAATGAAATCATAGACGAACTACCAAAAATATCCATAGGTAGTGGTCGGCGTCACCCATGTCCTAGACCTCCAGGGCCAAACCATAATACCGGACAAGGATGAAGCTAAAAATAAAATTCTATGGAATCAGCTCTATAAACAAAGCAGTCGTGTTCACAAATAAACACTGTGGTTCCTCTATGACTCTCTTGAAAAAGCAACAACTGAAGTACAAACCATTTATGAGTTGTTATGGCTAAATGACAGTTACAACCCAGTGATGAAACAACTTCGATCCGAATCTATGATTGATTCTTACTTTAGAGCACAACATGCAAATTCAGATTCAAACTTGAAGATAAAAACTCCATGGAATTTGCTACTTGTTCAGCATGGAGCAAGTAAGATCAAATTCAAATATGTCCGAGAAAGAAGAATGGGTGAGGTGGGGGAGGGGGAGAGGGATCAGTAGTTGTGATGCATACTTTGTCGACGGCAACGTGTCAAGGAAGACCGGATCCTGAAGTCAGCGTGCATCCCTCGCCAGCCCATCGCTGGCCGCGTGTATATGAGCGCTTGCGTCTGTAGTGTGTTAAAAAAATGTGTGACACATCAACTTATACACAGATAGCCGGCCGTACCGATAATTCCCCTCATTTACAGAAGCAACACATCACCAGAATACGTGTAACTAGGAGTGCACCAAGCGGTAAACAACTCCCAACTCACCTGCTGACAGTCATGGTCAATTTCATCTCTTCAACCCCGAGCTACCACAACCCTCACATTCAAGGGAGCTTAGTAACTCTAGTGATCTCAACTCCCTGCAATGCTGGAATTACATTGTTTTGCGTATTGTGTGTGATGGGCTCACCCTGTGTTCGTGCATAGAGCTAGACATTTCACGGGCCGGGCTTCGCCGGGCCTAGCCTTTTACAAACCTAGCCCGAAATGTCTAGTGTGAGCCAGTACTAAATGTACAATGCTGTCTAGTATACGTGTTTGTAAAAGCAGTCTGATTTTATCAGGTGAAGAAGAAGGATAATATATTTTGAATGTGACTTTATTCCGGTTGATCCTTCTGTGTCCACTTGCATTTCCCTTATACTGACTATTTGTTTTTTCATAGTGTACAGTAAAAACTCAAACGCAATTTACGTATTACTATCTCTGTACCAAAATATAAGATTCTTTTTGTAGGCTAAACTAGCCAACAAAAATGTCTTATATGTTGATACGGAGGGAGTAGAACAGACGGAGCGAAGTTTTATTTGTAAAGTACGAAAAAGAACACTAGTGAAGAGAGTTGAATTCTTCTGTTTCACATAGAAAAACATTTCGGACAGATTCATCCAAATAATTACAGTTTTCCAGAGGTAAACAAAACCTTATAATAATCAGTAAACTAGCAAAGACTGCTAAAAAAATGCAGAACATTCAAGTGGAAGTGGTGAGTGGTGACAATCCAATTTGCGGTTTCTTTGAACATTTCGTACTACTTTTGTTGTGTTTCTTTGTGGGTGTATCGCGTCTCCTCTAGTCATGGCTGAGTCACTGCAAATTGTGTGAGCGAGCAATGACCTTGCCGGAAGATGTGGACGTGCAACCGAAGATGCGCCCAGCCCGGTCAGCACCATGCAGGCTGTGACTCACTTGCATGCGGAGCACATCCTATCATTGTGTCCACCCTCTCCGCGTCAAACAAAAACCAGCCGCTTTAGCAGACTAGCTGTAGTGCCCACTCTCCAACCAAAACCATCAACCAAATTCTGAAGTCACCACAAAGAAAGGAGTTCTTATAAAATTTGCGGAGGCGAGCGTGCAACCATTTCCCACCGTGCGCGTCGGCTACTAGTACTCCTCGTTACAGAAATGGATATATCTAAAACTAAAATACATCTAAATACATAGATACCCGCGGTAAGTAATTTCGAACGTAAAGAGTATTAGTATAGCAGTGTGTTGTGCGCCGGTCACTGTCAGCTGAGCAAGGTTACTTTGCAGACTGCAAAGATTACGTGCAGCTGCTCCACGGTTAAGCCAGCGCTAAACAAATTGGGCGCGCAGATCTCGAGAGAGCTGCCCCCCAGGACGAAGCCTGCCCGCCTGCCGGCAATGCGAGTACTACTAGCGTATTCCCAAAAACCACACGTACACTACACACGCTCACTCCCAAAAACTCCAGTGGAATCTTCAGGCGCGTGCAACTGTAAAGTTGCAGTCTGCAAGGTGCATCCCCCTTGGCTCGAAACCTGCTCGGCAACCCCGAGGATGAGACCAACTGGCAGCCTCTCGATTAAACAACACACATCTCATCAGGCTGGTTGTAATGGAAAGTATCATATAATAGTATCATGCATATGATACTAGTGTATCATACTATCTCCTAATGCATAGTATTATATATTAGTATCATGTAGTACTTTATTTATTGACATGCATGACACAAAGTAGCATAGCATTTATTATGATACTCCATCATTTTTTTTTCATTTAATGCTATGACACCTCATCAAAAATGCCTAGTTGACATGCATGATACTACTAGTTACTAGTAGAATGCCCGTGCGTTGCTACGGGCCTTTTAATTTATTTTTTCTCATTGCATACATTTAATACTTGGTGGATTTTTGGCACATTCCCACCACAACGCCTTGGGACCCTTGTCGATGAATTATTTTTGATCATCGACGTACTCCTCTTAGTTAAATTTCTTCTGTTTTATTGTGCTACACACATTGAACTATGGTTATGTGTCTAGGGCACATCTAGATGTGCTCTAGTTATTGCACATCTAAGTGAGTGAATTAAGCATAAAGAGAAAAAGAAAATATTCACACGAATCTCGACGTAATATCAATGACATAGGACTTAGATGTGCAATACTTATGACACATCTATATGTGCTTTAGCAAAACTGATAAATTAACTACAACACATGGACAAAAATTGTACCAGACATCTCCTAATTATCATAGGAGTCCTAATTATCAACGGTTCAATAAGGAAATGGGCGGATGCCATACATGAGTCAGCGTGTCCAATGCTGATTTGGCACTTGAACAAGATATGTTGTTACTACTTTTTTCCAGTTCTATACAATTTTTCTAAGGATGGCTCGGTCCTACATCATCATGTAATTCTATAACCTGAACCAAAAGATGATTAGAATTTAGAAACTAATCAATTGTTGTGAGAGAACGGTGTATGGTATGCATAAAGTATCATGTATGCTAATGACATTACCACATGGAATAAGAATCAAGTAAAGCTGTATATCAAAAATGTATCTCCACGAAAAGTTTCATCTCGAGCATAATGTTAACCTAAAGGAATCAACAATTAAAGCTTCAAAATAATAAGAAAACTGTAGGAATTCAACAACGTTCATTATTCCATAAAGGTTCTGGGATGGACACCATGCAAAACTAAAAGGACAAGAAACCATGGTAGTTTGTATGAAAATGATTACCATCAGGACAGAACAATTTTCTTGAAAATTTTCCTTTTGGAGATACTGACATGCACTTACTATTAATTTTAAAAAACATGCACTACTGAGATATGGAAAATTATGATACTGCAATTAAACTCTACAATTGCGTAGAAAATGACCAAAATGGAGAGCTCCATGCGCCTACATGACCTTACTTTTTAAAAGGTTAAAAACAACATGCCCGCTAAGAGTAGAAAATTTCATCTACTATCTTCTCGGTGTTTGGATCACAGAGCTCACCAATATATGCATTCGACTTTACGGCTAGCACCCATGATAGGAAGTTGGGGGCATCAGCTATGGCGTATGAGATTGCTTCAACTCACCTTGCGGCGACCCCATCAACAATTACGAACCGGGCGGCGACTTCCTCAGGCATCAGGTATTGCGACGTGCCGATGTCGATGGCCAGCTCAAAGCTCATGTCATGGCACAACAGCGCTGAGTGCCAGGGAACGATGTCTCAGGCGTTGCGACCGCGGAGGCCATGGCGACGTCGAATCGCTTCTTGAAGTCGGCTGCTCCCACGCGCGAACGCCGTTTTTGACAATTCTCGGCGATGCAGAACGCGCTTAGGGTGGCCAACGCCACCCAGAGTTGTGCCCTATCACGGTGATGCTCACATCCTCGTCCTTGTACGTGTCC